TAAATAATAATCTTAATTAAAATAGAATAAGGTTTATATTTTTTAATAAATACATAAATTCTATTTGTTTACTTAAAAACTTATTAAATAATGATGATGACATAAATAATAATCTTAATTAAAATAGAATAAGGTTTATATTTTTAAATAAAAATAAAAATTTACCGACATAAATTAAAAACTTAAAAAGTTTATATTCTTAAATTAAAAAAAAAAAAGAAGCAAATTTTGTTTTCTTATCTCAACCTTTATCTCTAAAATAGTCGTGGAGAAAAGAAAATATAACTTTTGATGATTTGGTATTTTCTACCTTATTAGATCAGGTTTTCATCATCTTTTGCCTCATTCACCCTTTCTTATATGGTAAAATTTATATAGTGTTTATAAAACACACAAATTTTATTATGCTTTCTCATACATAACTCCAAAATCCATATTCTTCCCATCAAGTCCATACCCAACAAGAACAGGCAGCAAGTTGATTACAAAGGAACGAAGGAATTCCCTCTAGAATCTCAAGATCAACCCACTTAATCCCATATTTGCTTAGAACAATTTTGTATTCTCTCGTTATTTTGTGTGTAAATGCAAAAATGTCACATTATCCAAAGATATGTGTTTCGTTTTTCATGTCATTAATTTTTTTTTTAAAATAATGTTTCTCAGCAATTTAACAAGCTTTTGGCACTTCCATCAACGGAAGGGCAAAATTAGTACTAATAGTTGAATTTTAAGGATAATTTTGACACTTTTTAAAGTTTAAAGATGAATATAGTATAAATATGAAAGTTGAAAGATCAACTTAATATTTTAACCAACAATCGATACTTTAAATCCAGTAATTTTTGGAGCCTACTTGATGCTTCAATTACAATCAAATATAATTATTCCCACCGTTACAATCAATTATAACGGGTTAAAATGTAGTAAAATCTTAGGTGTTGATTGGTATTTGGTATCACAGTTTGAGAGTATCGTTGATCGTCTAATTTATTATATAAAAATATTTGATAATTTTCTTCCAACAAATAGTTATGTATTTAGTGTTTGATAAAAGCTTTTATTAATGATTTAATAGTGATGATTAGCAATTAAAATCCAATTTAGTAACAAATTGAAAGCGTTTTTTTTCTTTGTATATCTGAATGAATTATATAATAGGAAATAGTTTTTTTTTTTTTTTTTCTAAATCTCTTCCCATCCAACTCAAAATTTGAATTTAAAATCTTTAACTTGAAATTTCCAACTCATAATTATTGAATTACCCCATTAGGATTGCAAATTGAAACCGTTCTGAGAGTAGCTTTAGTGTAATTATTTTTTAAATAAAAATTTAAAATTACACAATAAAAAATAATTTCATTGTATCTTTTAATTTACGGTACCTTGAGTTGTACCTTTTACTTTTAATGAGAACATTAATACCGAATTATAGTGTTAGCCGCAAATATTATATGAAAAATCAACACAGCTGAAATTAATCGTCCAATCTTAATTACAAAAATAGGTTAGATATGGTGTAGGTTTTACTTGTGTTTCATTTATTATGTCATTATTAGGACAGATGTTCTTATTTCTTGCAAAGCACCCAATTTTTTCTTACATTTTCTTAAAAAGTTTGTTGTGCATTTTATATTATACCCAATTATATAAAATAAATAGTTAGATGTGAGTAAGACTTTTAATATTAAAAATTATTTTTAATTTAATAATTTTTATTTTATAATTT